GCACAACCCCCACTGGGGATCAAGCCCGCAACCCAGGCATGTGCCCCCGACTGGAATCGAACCTGGGACCCCTCAGTCCGCAGGCCAACGCTCCATCCACTGAGCCAAACCGGCTAGGGCTAGATACAAAGATTTTATATTAAAAATTATAATTTGATTCTTATACACATACCTTTAATGATAGAGTCATCTTATTCTGACTCAAGTATAAGCTATTAGAATCATGGCATGACAATGATAACTACCAAATTTCACTTTACAAATTCAAAAGTATTCTCCTTTTTTGACAATATCTTGACTATAGAATTTCTTGTTTGCAAAGTTTAACAAAATTAACGTTTCCTAACTTCAAAAAAAATGCTTTGAGACTTATCTTTTTAAGAAACTCAGTTTCTTAGTAGTGTGGATAATTTAACCTGTTAAAACTTAGACTTAAAATATTCAATTTTATTTTTTGCTTTATCACATTTTAAAGTTTTATATTTGAGTAACTTTATTATCTAAAAATGAACTTTTAAAATGGTATTAACTTACGAAAATATTATTGAAATAACAACTATACTATGTAGTCTAATTGTTTTGAATGTAACTTTTTTGGAGAAAATCCAAAACACTCATGACAACCCATAAGCATGAATTTGCTAAGTGTTTTAGATAACATTGTATCATTGATTTTCATTCCTTGGTTCCTGTTTCTTGAATGTGACTAGCATTTCACTTTCTCACATATTAAGACACTAATTCCACTTAAATGAATTTGAGTTTTATCTAAAAGTCCACATATACAAGATAGGCTATATTATATGAGGGGGGAAAGGCTCTATTTGCCTATACTAATTATTATGGCAATCACCATTTAGAAATTATCAAGAATTGGATTACATGTTTAATATACACACACACACACACACATACACACACATCCATGTTCAAAGGCTGTTAAATCACGTTGTTTACCCATATCTTCAGAAAAAAATCACTTCTGTCGTGGTAAACAACCTGCTTCCCTACTTATAATGGTCTGGCCCTCTGGCAATTTCAGCGCGAAATTATAGCTAATTTGCCTACAAACGTCAGGTGGTCATAATAATCTGGCCACTCAGTGTGTGTGTGTGTGTGTGTGTGTGTGTGTATGTGTGTGTAAAAGGCTAAGTGACCGACCGTATGTCCGTCTGACCATCTGGCCAGTAAATATGATGCACACTGGCAATTTAAAAATAAACATTGACTCGCAGATGCACGATACATACAAAGCTCTTGCTGGCACCAGTCTAGACAGAGTAGGAATATTCCTGCCTGAACACATTTTCGGACATAGTCAGTTATCTGTTGCTTTTTCTCAAGTTGGAAGAGCGTGTGACATTAAAGTTGTAAATACTTCATCACAAGGGATATTAGTCAAGCACTCTGAAAGTGTTTTTACTCTTAATGAGGTACACAGGGAGATATTAGAATAAGTTTAATCAATTTATCATTGTTTTATATCATGTTTTTGTTGTTTTTATATCTTTGTTGTTGTTATATCATGTTATTGTTTACTAGTATTTATTAATCAATTTATATATTTTCATATACATTTTACTAATTTTCTTTCATCTCTGACACTTGTATTATAAAGAGTGGATAGCAATATTAAAATATTTCTTCTAATTAATTTCCTTTCAGTGTGCACAAATCCATGCACCGGGTCACTAAGTTTGAAAATAAAAGCTTTGCTGTCCCCTCTTAATACTCAGTGTGGTCTGTTTGACAACGTATTGGACATAAGACTCAGTTTGAAACCACTGAACTCTGTGATCATGAATGTGCAAATACTGGACCATTCAGATTCCAAGCCTTACTAAGTTAAGATATTTAATAAAAGAATGTGCATAGATGTTATATACTTCACTGAAATAATTTTTATCTATACTTTCAAATGTCATGGATAATTCAGTTATGTATTCCCCCCAACTGTCCATTTGTGGTTAAAATAACTTTAAAACAGTAAATTTTATTTTCATTAATATATGTATCTCAAGGCTTGAAGATCACTAACCATCCAAGACTCAGTACAAGAGGGGCATAGGGAAGATGGTTTCTCATTGTTTATAACTTTCTTCTCTCTAGAAAATGAGCAGGTACCCACCCCACGGGTAGAAATAAAATAGAACCCCACTAGAACAAAGAGTTTATATGCAGCTAAAACTTCTGGATGTCTCATAGGCCCTTAGGCATATTGGCTTTCCCCCCTCTCCCCATGGATGTTCAACGAACTTTTCAATCTAAAGGAATACTTTCCTTCAGCTTTCTTTAAAAAAAAAAAAAAAAGCAAAAGTACTTACACAATCTAAAAGAATACTAGAAAATATTTTACTTCATAAGACTAACAAAAATACAAATGAGGCCTTTGGGAAAAGCTGACCACATAGATCCTATAAACGCCCTAGACCACTATAATTGTACTCCCAGTGCAGAAGCCAATATTAAATTGGTTTCTAAAAAAACTAAAAAAATTTAACCAGTTGAAAGGATACATTTTATTTTAAAATACTTTATAACATTGTTTAAAATGATACTTTATAATTCTTTGAATAACTTCTAGATTCTCAAAAAGAAAAACAAACTTATCATCATTGTCTATCTTAATATTTGCAATTTAGAAGGAAAAATATATTATTAACATGAGGATGTTTAAATATGTTGTTATTTTCAGCTATACATAATTGTTATTTTTAAAGGTTCTTTGTTAGTCTATTAGTTTTAGCCTACAGATTTTTTTAAAATTCTAGTGAAAGCTCCAATGTGGTGTTTAGTGACCAAAGCACAAATTTTAAAGTTTCTTCACACTTTCAGCATGTGTTAGTACATAGTTTTTCTAACAATATAAAAAACATTCATTTTGTTGCTGTAACCAAGAGAGTCGAAATCTGGGTAACCATGACATTTTAATGATCATACTTCAATGTATTTCAATGGCTTACTTGAAAAACACACACACATTCTATTTGCAATGAAACAAATAATTAATCCTGTGCCTCCTTCAAAGGAAGCTGGAATAAACGTATCTACAGTAGAAAAATTAAGCTTTTCTAGCATCAGAAAACATTATGGTTGAAATTTTTGTGTGAACTGGAAATGTACCCATCACTTGGGCCTACCACATGAATATATTCAGGCAAAAGACAAATGCCCTGTAAGAGAAAGTAATTACGTATGCACAAGAGAGTAACATAACAGCAATTAGGAAAACAATCCTTGTGAATTTTCTAACTTTTATGCCCACAAACTCACAACCATTTAATTGTATTTCAACTCTTTAAAAAATTTAAAATATTAAAATCTATGCTCCAGCATGAATGCATTCAATACCAAATTGACTATGATTACAATGATCAACTCAAATTTTATTAGAGTATTAACAATCAATGTTATGCAAGGTCATAAAAATATGTGTAATAAATATAATGACTATTGTTTATATTGTTTAACATTTATACAACTCTGCCCTGTAAAATATCCCCCTATGTAAATCAGATATCTGGAAATTTGTCGACTGACATTTTACTGCTGATGAGAAACAAAGAGTTTAAACAGACAATAAAAGATGGGAAGAAAAGATGAAGATGATTAATAGGTTTTTGTTTCCTAAAGAGCCTAAGGAAACTCTTTCAAATCCTTCCCTGTTCCTATAGGCTCACTGAAGTGAAGAGCTAGTCCATATGCCTTCCAAAGCCCTCGAAAACCTGAGTGCTCAGTCTGTTACAGATGCCAAATTATTCCACTTGCATCCTATTGGAGTATCAGGTGCTCTCTACGTATTGGTGCAAGGTCAAATGTTGACTGTATTCACTAGAAACTTTTTTTTTCAAATAAGCACCTAAATTATGCGCAGAAACGTCTTTCACGCTGTGTCTGTGTCAAATAACCTCTCCTGAAGACGAAAACACCTTTCTTGTTCCTTATCCCTCACCTCCACTGGTAAAAAACGGGCATTTTGACTCTTCTTTTTAAATTCTTTTCATCAAAAATGCATAATCTACTTTGCTTCTTGGTTTTTTTTTTTTTGGTTTGTGTTTTTTTTTTTAAAAGAATCACTCTTGTTCTCCAACTTCACAGAGATATAACGAGGAAGTTAAACTTTATACAATATTTGAATTTTTAAAGTTATGGTTACCCAAAATAGTAATTTACTTTTAATAAAATTCTTGCCGTTCCTAGTTGTATTTTACTAAGATAACTTTCTGAGATAAACATGTGAAGATTCTTTGAGTAATTAAAAATGGACCCATAGATACTGAGTAGAGTAGCACAAAATTTGTATGTTTACTTTTGGAAGATATTTATTTGCAGCGGAACATACCACATTTTAATAATTATGTCAAATATCTTTTTGAATAATTAACCATTCCATCATTTTAGTACATTGCGTACACACGCGCGCTATACGATTGTATGTGTATACACTTTCTCACCCCACGCAGGAAGGAATCAATTGCCATACTCCAGAAATGACAATGGAAAAGGAAAAATAAACAAGAATTACATAAAAGTCGCACAAAAGGGCAGTGCTAGGGGGTTAAGCTGTTGAATAAAAGAAACGCCCCCCCCCCCCCCAAAAAATAGTTGCCTTAAAGTGGCGCTTTCCGCAGGCTGTCGCGTCGAGCGAGAGTGGGGAAGCGTATTTTCAAGGAAGTGGGGCGGGACCCCGACACCTTCCTCCACCGCCCAAGGGGGCCTTTCGGGGAAGGCGGCCGCGGAGCCCCGCGGAGCTGGGGACTGTCCAGGTGAGCGCGGAGCGG